GTGGCCAATAATACCTGAATCGGTCCTTGTTAACAGCACCCTGTATGTATGTTGACGTTCTTTCGCACCGTACGTAGCCAGCCGTGCTAGTCGGAGGTGTGGGGGAAGGACAACAAACCGCACTGACCAGAATGGTCAAACAATCCCCATGACCACACGGCGTGGAGAGCCTATCATTCAGCAGTGGATTGACACATGGCTGTATTATATTATATTATTATATTATTTTAAGAAACAAAAGCACACGAGGCTCTGAAAACAATGTTTCCCAGCGGCGTTTATTTCAAAATTGTACCGTTTGTTCTGTTCAGACTTGACTGTGTTTTTTGCTGTTGTTGAGAAATTGTTTAAATTTAGATACGGGTTCAGACGTAGAAATAGACATGTATTTTTAGATGCACAATTGTAGAAGGGTTTCTTCCCGGGCGGTCCTACATGAGTTTGGAGCGAGAAAACGAACTTTAAAACCAGTCATACGCAAATTGGAACTTTTATTTTTTATTTTATTTTACCAGGTAAGGCCCACTAAGCTATACAGCTCTTTTTCAGAAGCGACCTGGCCACAAACGATAGCTCAACGAAGTTTCTTATCACGTGGATATTTATAGCAGCCAAATACTCTAAACGCATGTTTCTAAATGTGGAGGGAAAACCCCGAGGACCCGGAGAAAAATCCACCACGGGGAGAACACGCACACTCAAAATATATTGCAGGCGTCAGGGTCGGGATCGAACCCACAACTTCCTGCATACGAGGCGAGGTAGTTAACATCTCGCCACCGTGGCGGGGGAAGCTCCACACCGTTCGTCGGACAGTCTGTCGTGTGAAAAATACCGGATTCTAGTAACGGGGAGTGACGGCGCAGCGATGCTGGTTTATCGCTCACGCCTGTGGTACTAACCCCCCCCCCTACCCCCCAGCACCCCCCACCAACGTGTAACTACCGGACCTTCAAGTTCGCGTTGGATAACGCAAACGACACCGCCTCTGTGCAGTGAGCGAGGCGTAGTTGGCAAGAATCGCTTTTGAATGTCTCTCTCCCCCACCCCACACCCCCCTCTTCGTAGCCTCGCTCACGGGCCCCTCCGGCAGCTCGTGGGCCTCGACGCAGTTGTACCGCCTGCGCGTAACGTTAACGCGGCGCTTTGCGCAGTGGTTGCACGGCTGCCTCCGTGTGAGTATCCACAAGACAAATACAACGCTCGCCAGTTGAGCTTCAGTGGGCTCTTGGTGGCAAGTGCTGCTCGCGAGTAGCACCTACGAAGGCCCGATCGGAACACGCGAGGGGGTTGGGTGGTCAGCGCCACGCCCGGCCGCCTTTGTCTCCCTCGTGGCGATGTTTTACACGTCGCACCAAGTACTCATGTGAGGCCGAGTCGGCCGCATAAACACACACTTTTTCACGGGACACGAGTCAAACTTGCCAGCTGTGCTATCCGCCGTAAGGTTGTTAGTTTTGTTGCTTTTGTCAAATCATCGTTTGTTATTTTTTTTTGTATCGAAGTCAAAATCATTAGAATATGTATTTATCCATGGAGAAATCCGATGAGCTATGAAGTTATTTTTCACAGGTGCCTAGTAGGGATGGGTCAGAAAGTTACAACGACAAACAATACAACAAAATTAGGAGTGCAAAGTATAGGAATAGTAAGTAAATCACAATTTCATACGTAAAATAGATCAAGTATATACTCTAAGTTCAAATTGCATAAGCACAGCAATGTTCAAGCTTGGGCAAGGTAGCAGAACAACAGCAAACACAGTCCCAGACGAGACCAAGATAACACGCAGTCCCTCAATACAATTGCACTTTAAAATTGAACTTTCGATACATGAGGTAAAGTACTTAAATAATATACTTGTGGACGCATACTATCTTCCACGGAGGTGAAGGTGCCCGCCGACACACAGGGCTATCTCGCGCCGGAGAAAACGACTGAGTCTGATGGAGAAGAGGTCACCGCACCTATGCCCACATCCTCCGCAATGTGCTCCGCTCTCGTCTGATGACGGAAGCTAAGCAAAGTCTGAGCCCACACGGTGGTTGGACTCTACTCTTGCGTATAGCAGCAATGCGTTCACGAGTTGCCTGTCAATGTCGAGGTCTGCCAGCCACGAGAGAGCTTCGGGAGAGAAAGTTGGCGTACTTCGGCTGTGCCTCCTCCGTCGAAGGAGCGCAGACCACAGTGGTTGTACTGTATGGTCCATAGTTTGAGTTGAATGGACAAAATCGCAGTACTGTGGCTTGTCTTTAATACGTATCTATGTATCTCTATGGGTCTCCATTATTCTCATTATATCTCTGCGAATCTCTGTGGGTTTACCATACGATCCCTAGTTTGTGTTACATCGCCACAATCGCAGTACTGTGGCGTGTCTTGAATACGTATCTACATATCTATATGGGTATGATTCTCTGTGTATGTCTATGAGCCTTTATATGTGACCGCGATGCATGCACGCCGGGCTGTTACATGCGGCCGTGCTACGCAGCAGAGGCCAATGCAAGGAGAACGCGTCAATTGTTGTACCGCGCGTCTATGCATCCTCGCCAATCGCCAAACCCTCGCATTGGTCCACGACTCACACGGCACGGGGGAGGTCCTCATCCAGCTGTGGATGCTGAAGGGATCACCGCGCACGACCGCGCAGGGTGTTCGTGGTCTCACGCGGAGCGGTGAGTTGACTCGTGGTCACATCGTGGACGGAGCGACCACGTCATTTAGAACGCGGCACCGCCTGAGTTCAGCTTTCTTAATCGTGGCGCCGTTGTATTTCTCCGTTTAACAAACCCATGAATATCTCCGTTCGCTTTGGCTGTGCGTGTGTAATATTATAGAGCTAGCCGCGCGCGACTTACACTAGTCTCCCTTGTATTGAACGAGACATGCCCTCGCCGTGAGCTCTCATTTTATAGGGTGCATAAACCACGCTGAAATGTCAAATTTACATCGCCCGAAAAATACACGTTAGTTTGGCAAGCGTTCGTGGCTTTTGAAATTATTTAACATGGGTACATTTGTTTTAGTATGCGCGTCTTTCTGGAAATATAAATCGTAAAAATAACGCACTTCAACGATCCCGTTGACCTGGAACGGAAGAGCCGACGTTTTGGAATAATTTCTGATGCGTGAGAAATCACAACCACGACACTTGAATGGAGATCTATCCTCTTGACCTAACGGACACTCGGCCACAACATAAAATTATTTCCTTGCACCGCTGGGAAAGAATGTCTAATCACGTTTACACAGGTAACCAAAAAAAAGAAATTAAACGAGATCACATTCATAACACGACGCAGTATTCATTGTGCATACTGGTTCGCCCTTAGAACCGTCAAACTCCGTGTGTACATAACTGCGCGCAGTAAGCGGTCGATTGCTAAGAGATGTAGAGACATTTCGTACAAATAACTCTCTCGCATACCGGTAACGAATACGAGCTTGTGTCGTGATGTTGTTTTTTACCCAAATACTGCTCATTGTCATAATCAGCCACGACCAATCCACTGCTGGATGAAGGCCTCTCAAAGCCGCTGACCATCTACCGCAATGTAATTGGCTTCGAACTTGAGCGATATTACGAATGTTTGACTTTATTTGGTAGTCAACAAATACACATGATCACTTTACAAAAATACAAAACAAAGTGATTGGCGTGAATTTGTTACTGCTTTGGAGTCGGTGTCTCTACTATGTTAACTATACATTTACGAGGAATGTGCATGTTTTAATAATTGTATTTTGTACCACTGTATTCCAGTTATTCACACACAGACATATATATAGAGGGGAATCGGTTGCGCAGTGGTTTGCGCGTTGCGTTATGAACTCGGTAACCTGAGTTAGATTCGCGGCCACGGCTAACATCAGTGGTGAGTGATATCTGAAAGGGTCCTGGCCCCGTCGCACTGACCAGAGTGGTCAAGTGCGCTATTTAAAAAAAAACCCCACCTGACCGACATGAGTAGGAAGGGCTTCATCCAGCAGTGGATTGACAAAAGGCCTGCAAATTAATTACCACTAATTTTATTTTCAAATCAGTGTATTACTGCATATCACATACTCATTACACACACTTTAAATACACATATGTATAATAATCATTCTATGCCCTTTAATTCAAGCAAAGATCCCCCATATCGCTTTAAACAGACATTTTAGGCAGTGCTGTTCGCGAGCACCTATGAAGGCCGACACGGCACACGAGGGGGTGGGTGGTGAACACCTCGCCCGGCCGCCTTTGTCTCGCCAGTGGTGATGTTTGCACATTGCACCAGGTACGAATTTGAGGCTGAGTCGACCTAGGGGAAGCACAGGACCAGTTCAGATAATCGTAATTGGTGTTGGCCGTGAGCGGGAACCGAGCTCGGGTCACGGGGTTCGTAGCGCAGCGCTCTAAACGCTGAACCACTGCTCCTCATGATGTTCAGCCATGACCAATCCACTGCTGGATGCAGGCCGTCTCCATCTATACGACCATCCGCCGATCCAACTCACGTACGCACGAGTTTATAGCGCTGCACGTGCAATGATCTCTTTAATGAAATGCCTGTAAACTCCACATGATTTGACACTCTTACATCCACACACGCATATCATTAGTCATGATATCATTAGTCATGATATCATTAGTCATAATATCATTAGTCATAATATCATTAGTCATGATCAATTCACTGCTGGATAAAAGCTGTCGCCACATATGAAACGATGCCCGCAACTCTCACACACACACACATATATATATAGCGCCGCGCGTGTAATTATCTCAATAACTAAAAGCCTGTAAGCTCGAAAGGATTGGTCTGGTGCAGTGACCCGTCACAACGCGAGCGATGTTCTCCCAGTGCGCGAGAGGCGAGCGACGTGCATGCGGTGGAGCCAGTGTTGGTATAGGAGGGAGGGGGAGGGGTGGATAGATGGGAGAGGGGGTACGTGGGGGGCGGGAGGTGGTGGTGGGTGCAGGGGGTGGTGGAGGAGGAGGATGATGGAGGGAGAGAGGGGGGTGGTAAACAGGTCTCGTTGTGGATTGATTCACTGCCGCTATCATGCGCCACTCGTCAAAAGCTCGACCTCTGGTCAGGGGCTACATACCGGCTGGTGCGGCCCTGCTATTTTAAAACAAGTTGTATTTATTTATACTTTCCTACTTTTCCCTTTTTCTTGCGAATGCGGCTGTTGCTTTTCCGCAACTTCGCATTTAGCAAAAAAGAAGCCGCGCGCGCTGCGTTCACCCGCGCTGCGCGCAACAACGGGGACGCGCGGGCCGAGTCCATCGACGCAGAGAGATCTCGCTCGGGTTTGTGGACACGTCACGGGGTTCTCAATATTTAACGACAAAAACCCCCGTCGCGGGTGGGAATTCGGCGTCGTGAGTGTTCGCCCGCCACGTCGTCGTTACAACCGCGGCGCACAATGCGCAGCAGTTAGCGAAACAGCTGGGGGGGGGTAGGGAGGGTGACCCGAACGTGCGTGTAATAATTACTTCTTGAGCAAAAAAAAAAAGCCACACGGGGCGTATGCATACGCGATTGTTGTGATAGTAAGAGGCCGACGTAGCAAAACACGCGGCTGCATCGTACGTGTGTGTGTATATAGAGAGAGAAAGGAGGAAGCGATACACGCATGGAGCCCAGGGAAAACGCGGCCAAGAGGCCAGGTCACTCGCTCTCCAAATTCACCATCCGATGCATCCTGGGAGCCCAGACGGACGGGAGCGACTGCGGCAGCGAGGAGGAGAGCGACGCGGATGGGAGGAGAAGGGGGGCCCCTGCCGCCACTCAGGCTCCGAGAGGGGGCGCCGCCGCTGCCGCCGCTGCCGCCGCCGCCACTGTGGCTCAGGATCGACATCGCACGGGCTCCTCCCGTCTCTCTGAGCCCTTGGAGGGGTCTCGCAAAGTCGCCTGCTGGCTGCAGGAACACCAGATCGCTTGCTGCCACGGTACGCACCGCATTGTTATTTGCTGTTGTTTGCTGTTGTTCTCCGTTGTCGTTTGCGCTCTCCGTCCGCTCGTGCGCTCTCGGCTCTATCGCGGGTTGCGTGTCGATGTATATCATGCGTCGCGACCGAGCAGTCGCGTCGTGGCTCCGCGAGTGTACGCGCGCGCGTATTCAGCCATCGGCTATAAATATCAGCTGCTGGATGAGGTTCTCAACCCTACGCCGTGCAGGGCGCAGGGGCTATCGGACTCGACCTTGTCACCACCCTGGTCAGTGGGTTTTCGTAAAGGCGGTGGGCATAGACGTGAGATTGTAGCAAGTACAGTACAATAAGGGATTGTGTTGCTCTGCCTCATGGCTGCCCACCACATAATAACCTATTATGCACTCATTCAAGCGCTGTTCTAGGCTCAAATTCTGCTTAGCCTGCGAGCTAGGACTCAATTCGTGTGATTTTGTTGATATGCTGAGCGAGATGATATTTAGAATTTTCATGATGTTGTAGAAGGGCTAGAAACTATACCCCACATGCGAATAGAATTGGAATTTTGACAGCCCAGAAAAATGACGGCGCTGAAGTTGATTGGCTTGGTCTGTAGCGCACACTCAGTCCGAAGTTCTACACTGCCTTTCGAGAGTCGCGCTGAACGCAATGCCTACGATCCGCATTATCAGCGTTCCTAACAATCTCACCTCCCGTGGAGTGTGCCGCAAAAGCCGATGAAAAGCTGGCAAACTCATTGCGTTCTTGATACGATGTTTGGCTTAGAGCGGTGTTGAAGATGACAATCAGATTAAACTATAAGTATCTAAGTAATGTCATGCGCGTCGGCTATTAAGTTATTTTATTTTATATACATACAATATACATACGATACTGTATGTATATATATAATTGTACATAGAATACAATTACCGTATACACAGAGACTTCGGGGGGGGGGGGGGGGTTATATAGCGGTAATTAAAAATTAACAATCTACTGCTGGATGAAGGCCTCTCCACGCCTTTCGTTCGTCGTAGGGAATGTTTGGCCATACTTCACAACGCTAGTTAGTTCAGAAAACGCAAATTGCACCCACTTGAAATGTGAACGTGTTTGTATATGCACATTAATCTATATGCACGCATAGTATGCTTGAAATCTGTATATTATTTTATATTATCCTGAACATAATCCACACACGAATATCACAATATGTAGAAATTCTATTTAAAGTAACGTTGTGGAAGTCTTTCAGAAAAAAATAGGTTAATAATATTTTTTGAGATGTGGCGATATGTTTGTTGTGTATTATATAGCAAACATTAATACCCATGTATTTACGTTAACACAATATAAAAAGAGGTAATATAAACTTGAACAGGGTCACCACCAACGGGTTAATTTCATGAGAGCATTGGAAACAATGCAATTACAATACTACATCGCATGTTTAAATAATGTGAACGTACCATTTTATATATTTCTTTACAAACAGATATGCAGGAAATGTGACTTTTATTTTAGAACAATATTGAACTTGCTGGGGATTTATTATATACATATGTACATATACACAGCCAAACTAATAGCTCTGGTTGTTGCTGCTCTTGCCGTTTCAAGGCTCAGAACTGACCATTCGCCTATCCAGGACCCCGAGTCAACGTGTCGGTGTAGAGATGGCGAAGTGAATTCCCGTGACATTCAAATGTCTCTCCCCACAGCTCACATAGATTAACAACACGTTTGGTTGCCCCCTGCACAATTAAGCTTATTTCCGAATTATTTGCCCTTCGTTTATGTAAAGCGCGTTGAGATACCAGTGTAGTAAGACGCCCCATATATATACCCTCAAATTGTCGGTGTTGGTGTTATCGGCAGAACTAACAAAACTGAATTTCTGCAATTATTGATGGCTCTATCATCTCACCGCTGTGATTCACAGCAACTGATGTTATCATCTAATTTTTAACCACAGTGCACAAAGCTGAGCGCGTGCGTGTTATCAGCGTCAGCGCGCTGTGTACAATTAGTCCCGACACGCGCGGTTCCCGGCTTCAACCGCTCGTGTATTTGTCTGTAGAAGTGGCCAAGCGAGCATTGGCCGGGCACGGCGTCTCTCAGGAAAGGATCCAACCTCAACTACAGCAGCAGCAGCCGCCGCATCAGCAGCAGCATCATCATCATCCGCATCAGGAGGCGAGGGCCGGTCACGCCACCTCCCCAGCGCACACGGAGCCACGCAGCAGCAACAGCAGCAGCAGCATCATCATCGACACTCCGCCGGCGCTGACGGCAACCGCGCCTCGGTTAAACGGGGCGGCCGCGCCCCACGTTGTTGTTGTTGTTGGTGGCGGCGACGATGATGACGACGATGATGACGATGACGACGACGATGATGACGGCGGTGGCGGCGGCGGCGGCGGCGACATCGTCGTGAGCGGGGACAGGGCCTGCGAGAGCCCCCCTCAGCACGGCAGCCCGCGTGCGCCCCCCAAGAAGAAGACGCGGACCGTGTTCTCTCGGAGCCAAGTGTTCCAGCTGGAGTCGACGTTCGACATGAAGCGCTACCTGAGCAGCGCGGAGCGCGCGGGGCTCGCCGCGTCGCTCCACCTCACCGAGACGCAGGTGAAGATCTGGTTCCAGAACCGGCGCAACAAGTGGAAGCGCCAGCTCGCCGCCGAGCTCGAGGCCGCCAACCTGGCGCAGGTGTCGGCGGCGCACAGACTCGTGCGTGTGCCCGTGCTCTACCGGGAAGGGGGCCTGCACGGAAGAGCGGCTCCCGCGGGGGGCGTCAGAGCCCCGCTCGCGTTCCCCTACCCCTTCTACTACCCCGGCGGTGCCTTGACACACTTCTCGATGCCCTACACCGCCAGCAGCTCCGGCCTCATGCAGTGAGAGTGTGGACAGAATTCGTTGGTCACGACGCGTTGTTGTTGTTGGGGGGTAGGGGGGGGGGCGGTGTAGAAGCAGAGAGCTCCGTTCCGTCGCCGCATTATACGAGTGCGGTAATAATACGTTTTAGTCCGTCAGCCTGTCGTTGGCTTTTCAGACCAATGTTAGTAATCGTCCAGCAGCAGCAGCAGCATTTGTTTTGAAGCAAAGCAAAACGTCTGGTGCGTTTTCTTCGACGTTTGTGGGTCTCCTCGGCAGTCGTGCTCCCGTGCTTGTGAATGAGTGCGCGCCGGGGCAGCGAGACTGACAGGCGGCGAGACGGCGTCGAAGCAACCGCGCGAGCTCCCCAACGTCAGCTGTGCGCGAGGTGATACAGATGCGAAACATTTGTGGATACCCCCACTGACTTGTAATGACGCCCTATTCTCAACAGGTGATCGAATGTTGTTGTGAAAGCGATGGCTCCGTATCTTACAGAGTGTTAACAGATGTACTAAGTGTGTCGTTGAGTCTGATGGGAGACGCGTAGAGGCTTTGAAATGTAATGGGGTTTTTTTATCAATGTAACGTGTCTCCATTGTTTTAGTGGGGTATCTATAAATCGATCACCCTTGTATGATTTTCCATGACTGTGTACGTGTACTGCCGCTTTTTTGTCCATCCGCTGCTGGATGACTGCCTATTATTTGACCACACTTCACCGCGCTAGTCAGTGCAGAGTTGATGAAACCGGGGAGGAGCATATAAGTCAGGGCATAGTGCAGTACAACATGTGCGAAAATAATATATCTGCAAATTTGGCTCTGCATACTGTACTGCATATGTACATATACTGAATAATACTGTACGTGTGCATATATTGTATGTCATTGGTTCTCAACCGGGGGTGGGGGGGGGGGGGGCGCAGGCGGCGGCACGGATACCGTGCAGGAGAAAACGCTGAATGTGCGCGGGGAACGGGAACGCAACGTTGCGGCGTCAAGCCACACTAATGTGGACAACATGAAACAAGTGTAAGGCTGCGGCGGCGCGTGGCATCCCGTGGTCTTGATTTGGCGGGGAGGGTGAGGGGAGGGTGAGGGGAGGGGGTCCATACCAAAAAGTCTGGGAACCACTGTTGTATGGGCATATTCTAAACAAAGGAACGCGTTTGTAAAAGTGCTGAATTAACAGGAAAGGAAGCTCGGTTTATTCCGGAATATATATTTTTTTCCAGTCAACTTGCCTTGAGCTGTGAAGATGTTGTCGTTTTATGGATGTGAATTACGCGCAGGTGAAATTATTTATTTATTCCGTTCAATTTGATTTGCATTTTGAAGGGGAAATCCGAAAGGAGCGATCTGAATCGGTGTCGGCCTGCGTTCACGTGACGGTTGTTGAGCGTGTTGTTGTAATAATGACATTGAAAATCGTAACAATAATTTCCAGCCCCTCTTATCAATCCACCGCTGGATGACAGGATGAAGGCAGACCCCACGCCGTGTTGGTCACGGGTTTTGATTATACTTCACCACTTTGGTCGGTGTCAATTGGTGAAGGCGGGGGAGGGCAGGACCGGTGCATATATATTTATATATAAATATATATTATATAAAAATATATATAAATATATATTCGCCCACTGATGTTATCGGTGACCGGGAATCGAACTCATGTAGCCGGGCACGCAGCGCAAAGTTCGGACTACTGCACCACCGCTCCCATCTCTGATCACGTGCACAGTACTATGGATTATCGTCTTACCAAAAAAAACCGTAACAATGTCATTCATTCAACGAATAGATGGACACGCCATTTACTCCGTTACACACGGTGCACGTTCAACTTCGGCGGCATCCAAAACTACTGCGTCGGCTTGTGCAATGCCTAAAATCCACGAGATCATGCAAATGTTTACTACAGGCACCTGTACCCAGAGTGCACCGCTCACTGCTCGTGTTATCGGCGGTCGTGAGCATCGTGTGCACCGTGAGATGATGAATCGCCACCCTCGTACTCAACTCCATGGCATTTGCACAGGAGCGGCAGCATCATCATCATTATTATTATTATTCTTTATCTACTCTTTGCACCGAGTATACAAGAAGAATAAAAAAAATCCCGCGTTGTGCAGTAGCTAAATGAACACTCGTCTATTCTGTTACATGTACACACATTGGCATTCATATTGGCCACACTCAACATCATCAACAGCAGCAGCAGCAGCCATGGTCAATCCACTGCTGGATGAAGGCCTCACTACCCAGCCGCCGCTATCCATAATTACCACGCGATATTATTAAAAAAAAACAATTCACCTAATCAGCCGCACGCGAGCTGATTTAATCGCTCCAACTCTTCGAAATACGTCCAGTCCGTCGAACCCTCGGTCCATTTTCTTTTGGCTGCCACGAAGTCGGTATTCTCGTCCAGTGGCATTCATCTCTTCTACCCACGTGCCCGGCCCAAGCCCCACTTGTCTTAATAGTTAATAGTTATAATAACAGTGATAGGCCACGCTATACGGTTAATAACACGAACGAGTACATTGTCGCGACTATGTTTAAGTCGGTACATGTATATGTATGGAATACATTGGCGGCAAAGTTATTTCAACAAAATGGGAGATAAGAAAAAGCGACCATCATATCGCAGTATATTTGGGTTGTAATGACCGTGTGTTTGTTAAAGGTGTATTTTGAGAAAGCTTAATTACAGATTGTAATAGCGACTCGATTCCGATAGGGGTCAAGACATATCCTATGAATAAAACAATGACATTTTATCTTAACCATGTCCGTGCCTATTACTATTCATATTGTTTGGATTCAGTACTTGTAGTCGTAAGGTTCACAATGGCAGATACTGGGTCTATAGGCCTACACAAAACAATAAAACGGTACGTATTACCGAATGTTCTATACGTGATAAGGGTTAGGGTTGTTAAAGTCGGTTTCTTTACGTTACCAATAACCGCATGGAACAAAAAAATGTTAAAATCCGGTTTCCTGTTTGCTACAAATACAAACATGTCCGGCAATGAACCTCATATTTTTTACCTTTTTTTAAGTCAAGAAAAAGGCGGCTTGCCTTGGTTTGTAACGGGTAGCGCACTGGACTTGCGATCCAGAATCCGCCGGTTCGGTTCCATGTCCTAGCGCGGCAGTGGAAGCAGTGGGCACATTTCTGAAATCTCTTCGCCTCCTTCCACCCAGTACCACGGGGGCCAGATGTTAATTACCTCGCCTGGTATACAGGAGGTTGTGGGTTCGATCCCGACCCTGACGCCTGCATATTTGGAGTGTGCATGTTCTCCCCGCGGTCGCGTGGATTTATCTCCGGGTCCTCCGGTCTTTCCACATTTAAAATCAACGCCACGCGTTTAGAGTATTCGGCTGCTATACACTTCCACGCGATAGGCCACTTCTTTGAGCTCTCATTTATGGCCAGATCGCTTCGGAAAAAAAGAGTTATATAACTCAGCGAGCCTTACTTTATAACATAGTCATATAATAGTCGAGTCAATCATGAGGTCGCGTGTGGTGGGGTAAAGTGTGGGTACGTCTTGGCCAGTGTGGAAGAATGCCCCCTAGAGATCCATTTAATGGATGCCCTTCAGCCAGCAGTGGCCTTGCAGGGTTGCACCTTTACCTCTGAACAGAGAAACCACTTGGACATCCCTGCTGTTTAAATATTCGCGCGTGCCAATTGGTGCACCGAATACTGTAGTAGGATTCAACTGGAACGTGTATTCACATACTGTACACGGTTATATGCTCATACACTCATACACACGCACAAGTGATCTATGCATTCACATATATCCTAGTCTAGAAAGATATCCCGTATAGTCTGAACAGACTGTTGGGGCAATCACTGTACGCGAGCACCGATGAAGGTCAGAAAGGGGAACTAGGGGGTAAGTGGCCAACACCACTCTAGGCCGCCTTTGTCTCCCGAAGTAGTGATGTTTGTTTACACATCGCACCAGGTACTCATTTAAGGATGAGTCGACCAGTTGAAATACTCGTCACCAATGTGTGCTGTGGGCGGGAATGAAATTCGGGTCACCAGGCTCGAAGCGCACTGCGATAACCAATGCCCTATGGCTCCACATACTATTACTGTATAGACATATATACATAAGACAGACACACATGGAACAGACGTTGTACAACATCAAGACAGGCTACATCTGTGGAGAACACACAGAAACACATTGACGATTGTTACCCTCATGTTCTAGGCATTGAGTAGGCGAGTCGCAGGTAGCTATGACACGAGTTTGAGATGCGCACAGTGGGGTTCAAGTGCTGTTAGCGATCACCTATTGAGACCAGAAACGGCGCACACAATGGGGTGGTGTGGTTAGAACCACGTCCGGCAGCCATGGTCTCCGAGTGCTGATGTTTACACACCGCAATCAAGGCACTAATTTAGGTCGTCCGCGTTCACCTGGGTAGGGGGGGGAAGCGCAGGACCCGTTCAGATTAATAGAATACAACCCAGGTCACACTTTCCGTCGCGGTGGTGCGCTAACCACGACGCCACCGCTCTTCACACGAAAAAAAATATACACATCGAGTAATATGCAAATAAAATAACCCCCCTCCCCCCCGCCACCACTATCGTCTTAACAGACAGTTCGGGCAAATGCTGGAAGCGAGTACCTCGTACGACCGACTCGGCACCGGTGTTCGCCACGGGCGAGAATCGAACTCGGGGGCGCCGAGGTTTTACGTTGGCGCAGCGCAGCGCTAACCACTACGCCACCGCTCCCTCTGACACGCGCGCGCGCGCTCGCACGCGCTCGCCTCTGGCGTCGTCGTCTGAGCGGTCGGGCAGTGCGGCCTGTAGTAGTACGTGCTAATGGCTCTGGATATCTCCCAAGTGTTGCCTGAGGATTTCGCCGTCCAGCATTAAACAACTTGTGAGTCTTACCGCTGCGCTGAATAAAAGCATTGGGGGAAAAGGGGAAAGGGGTGTGGGGGGGGAGGGGAATCGCACGTTCCCCATTATAATTTCTTACTGCTCCCTTCCACGTGCAAAACCTCGTGGATTCACTTTGCACAATGTGAGTGGCGCAAAGGTTTGGTCGTAGGGGAGATTAACTTGCGCGTTTTTTTGTGTGTGTGTGGGTGAGGGTTTAGCAAAATGCGCACGTTTGTAAACACACAAGCATTGCAGTGGCATATTCCGGGGCTTGTCCGGGTTAGTGCGCCGGACAAAAACACTTTTTCCCCAACTCCGGCACGCCACGTCCAGTATCTAGCTCTCGCCACGTCTGTGGGTGCTAGCCACGTGCCACCTCTTTACCGGCGACGTGGAAAATGTTCAACGAGAAAATGAAATAGCGGGATATGCCGCGCACCTTTACAGACAACAATAGCATTAGTGTATATCAGGGTTATATGAGCACGTGAGAGACACCATCCTGCCTGGTAAGAACAGGAAGCGGACTTGCACTGGGTACGCCGCGGTGTCAAGGCATTGATGGGCGGCGGTCGAGACTAACGAGGAAGTGTAATCCAGAGGAGGGAAACGCGCCCGAGGGATGGAGCGATGAAAAATTATCTCGCGTGCGGGAGCAAGACGTATAGCTGAATCGCAAGACCACGAGAGATGGCGACGGCTTGGGGAGGCCTTTATCGAGCAGTGGATAGATCATGGTTGCCGATGATTATTGTGCATTGAGGTTCCAACGACGTATTTTTTTATGTTAAAACACGCTAGACGAAAATATGAGAAATGCAGTATTTAAAAAGGTAAGCAATACCTGCACATCATAATAACGTAAACACAATCGTCTGACGGACGTCAGAGCTCACGAAGCCACACCGCAGCAACAGCAGCAGCAGCAAAACACACAAAAAAAACAAGAATGCAAGCGGCCTAAATATGTGTGGAGCGCGGTGCGCGAGTCGAC